TTATTATGTACAATTAATCTTTAAGCTACAAACGTTTCATATATTGTGCCCAAGCAGCTTAAATTTATTTAAGCTGATATTAATATGGCAAAAAATGCAATCTCGATAATTATTTTCCATATTGAAAGATAACGATATACATTTCAATTTAAGTTTTTAATGCTTCCAGATTTAGAGTAGCCCAACAATGATTGAAGCCACAAAAATAAGAGGTTCCATCAATTGGCATAACATTTTCGGCTCTTAGAGCAATATAGATTAAAAACTCCAGAGCTTATTAATGTTATTGACATAAATCGCGATCCGATATAATATCGTTTATTGGTCCAGCCCTAGTTGACAATCCCACAAGGCATCGCCGCTGTAAACAGGAAGATGTGGTAAGACTGCAGCCAAAGTTAATTCAATTGAACAAAGTAATGGACAACTTTATTATATTGTAACAGTAACAGAGTTAATATATTTTAAAAGTAATCCTTTAGAGTTGTAGTTAGTTAAAAGTAATACCGTTACAGTAATGCATTACTAGTAACGCGTTATTGCCCAACACTGAATGTCTGGTCAACTACAATCCATACTACATTGCAGATCCCTGTGATGTAACTATTGAAGACTCGCACATTGCAATATGCTAAACCGATATATTGTGCAGCCCTAAAATGTAAATTCATTATTAAATCATATGCATCCAGCCTTGTGATAGAGACCATTTTCACAATGCCAAAAGAGATCGTGACCACCAGCAGAATGAGCAATCTTTGTAATCAGGAGATGGGTATATATATATACACACAAAACAAGAAGTAGAACTTTATCTAAATACAGATGAGTCAAGATTACAAGTGGAAAGGAGGACGATGGTACTGAACAAGTGATCAGTAACTAAAACTAAAATAACTAAAGTTTATTCTTAGTTCCTAACCACATAGAGAAACATGATTTATTAGCTTCAAAGATGTGTAGAAAATGTCAGAATTAGTGGAGTATAAACATGAAATGATTGTCCACGGACTTGAACTTTTTTCCTTTAGTTCATCATTTGTCACACATCATTAAAGTTCCTAGAAGCCACTTCTCACTTTTTACTCTAATGCTGAATGTCTATTTTAATGTGTCTTTCAGATTCTGTCCTGTCAAAAATCCAGGAAAAATGTGTAAGTGAATGTGCAAAGCAGCCGAGAAAGGCACTAGTGAAGTCAAGATGATGGATAAATTTCCCAGAAAATGCATAAAGAAAGTACAATGTTAGTGGATCTGTATAAGTGTGTCTACCAAATGCAGAAATGTAAATGATTCATAGGCAGTTTCCTACACAGTAACTTAAATCCAAAACTACAATGTTTATATTAAATTCACTTGGTATTATCCAATGCCATGACAGAATACACACACATAAACCTGAAAAAATTGACCAACCTAGGTCTGAATAAGATTGATCTTTTACATTGTTTTACTGTATGGTTAATGTAGGTAGTGGGTAATGATGACTTTAATAGATGCAAAGAAAATCTCTGACATGTTTTAGCTGTAATAGTATGATGGAAAGAAAATATGATTTAACGTAGTTTAAGATTGAGGAAAAGTAGGTTTTATATATTTACACATTCGTTCAGTGACAACTTACCGTTTGCAGTCCCTATATTGTTTACCATGATACTTTGAATATTCGGTCTTAAATCACATGCAAATATGACTTTAAATCAACATTAGCACTTTTTGACAGAACAACTTTGTACTTTGATAGTAATTGTCTGCTAATATGATTTCACTATTTAGAATTTGCAAAGAATAGTTTTCTGAAGTTATATTAAGGAGAAAGTCTGAATGTGTGTATATAAAACCAGTCCATCACGAACTGACAGTTCAAGTTCATATTGAGGTAACGTTTAAAGCTCACACATTAAGACTTTATCCTTAATAATATCATTTCAGAAAAGTAGTTTTTGTATATTCTAATAACGAAATCATATTAGCAGCCGATGACTTTCAATGTACAACATTGTTCAGTCAAATAAATAGTGCTAATGCTGTTTTCATGTATACTTGCATATGATTTCAGACCGAATATACTAAGAGGTAACGTTTATATTCGCACTTTCGTTCATTTAGAAGACTTTATTTTGTTTACTATGTTGTTTACTTTGAATATTTGGTCAGAATTAGCATGCAAGTATGACTTCAAAACAACATTAACACTGTCTGATTGACAGTAAACCGTGCTGTACTTTGATTATCACTGGCTAATATGATTTCCCTATTTAGAATTTCCAAAAAATAATTTTCTGAAAATGTATTATTAAGAAGAATGTCTGAATATCCGTATATAAAACCAACTTTACCTCTATCGAATATACAAAGTACCACGGTAAACAATATAGGGAGCATGTCACAAAGCTATCACTGAACGAATGTCAATATAAAACCAACTTTATCTCAATCAAGTTCATCTCAATGCTCAAAATGAATCATTTGAGAGGCCAAATTAGCTAAAAAATCCAGATAAATGGTAAAATAAAACAAAAATAATTGCGGTAGAACTTCATTAGCTATAACCTGACATAAAGTCATCATGTTTTGGTAACGTTCAACGTCACTGCACCGTTACAAGCAACTTCCAGCGATTTACTGTACCATAGCAACACAAATCTTTCATTCGTGATTTACACTCGTGTAAACAATAGCTAAACAGTGGATAAAAAGCCTTTATTCTTACCTTGTGGCAGGACAAGAGTTCATCAAACACGATGTTTATCAGTGTACAACTGTGAGTCTGTGAGATGTCGAGCGTCAATTCAGAGAAAGGGATGTCAGTCAAGCAGCATCCGATGACTTTCTTTTGCCGCTTTCACACTCTTTCCTCGCGTTACAAAAGAAACCCTCGCGCTGCACAGAGACGCTCCTATTGGCTGGTTGAGACGCACCGCGACAAGACAGCGGGTTTTGATTGGTTGCGCGTGAAGTACGTCACTGGAAATGTGTCTCAAGCGACCAATAGTCATACAGATATTTCAATATTCAATCAGTCTTCATGCTATGCAGTGTATGAAGAGAAATAGGCTATACTTAATATTTGCTCCAACTGATCTGTATTTTAACAAACAGTTATGTAATGGTTAAACGGATAGTTTTTTTCATATTATATTGTTTACATATCCTTTGTTCCAAACTATTACGAGTTTTTTTCTGTTGAATACAAAAACATTTGGAAGCCTGTAACCATTGACTTCCATATGTTAAGATGTTAATTACTCAGTTACTCAAATTGAGTTTAATGTACTCAATTTTCTAATGTGGTTCCAGACCTTGATGAGTTCATTTTACTGTTAAACCCAAATGATGTTTTGAAGCAGACTGAAAACCTGTAACCATGGTATTTGTTTTTCCTGCTATGCAAGTCAATGGTTACAGGTTTTCAGCTTACTTCAAAACATCATATTTTGGCTTTAACCACCACAAATGCAACCACATTCAGGGTTCATACCCATTTTTACTATTAAAATTCCCTGACTTTTCCATGATTTTTCCAAGACTTTCAAGTAAATTTTCATGATCCAATGTTTCATGCAATGTCTACATATGGGTGGTAACAGGAAGAACTGTGCATGTTTTTATTTATTACAGCATATTTTAAAACAGAGCAATGTATTTAGTTTCAAATCATATTTAGATCTATTCAAAACTGATTTAGATAATGCTTACACGGACTAATAATGTGAGAGTGTGTGATTGAGCAAGGACAGAAAAGAAGGAAATAACCTATATTTAAGTATACAGATATCTGTTTTCCATGACTTTTTCCAAAACTATTCCAGGCCTGTAAAATGCCATGTCAAAAATTACATGACTTTTACAGGTTTTCCATGACCATATGAACCCTGTACATTAGAAAATTGAGTACATTTAATATTTGGGGTTATCTATCCCTTTATTAGGAGGCTTAGGAGGAAATTATAAGAAGACTTTTTTGAGTTTAGTGCACAATTTTATTTTGGTACAGAAGTTATTAAGTGCAAAGTTGGAGAACTGAATATCTGACATCATAGAACGCTTTACATTACCAATTTGTCAATCTGCAACAACATATAAACTTGAACCATTGACTTTAATATTATTTTTTTCTACTATGGAAATCAATGGTTACAGGTTTTCAGCTTTTTCAACAGTAAAGAAACTTATAATCATCTGGAACCACATCGGGTGGGAAAATGAAGTAAATGTTAACTTTTAGAGTGAACTATCCATTTAATCTTAATGCAGAAATTATTAGGAGGCTTTTGTGAGTTTAGTGCACAACTGTTTTATTCTGGTACAGAAGTGCAAATTTGGAGAACTGAATATCTGACATCACAGAAAGCTTTACATTACCAATTTGTCAGTCTGCAACAACATAAACCCTGCAACCATTGACTTCCATATTATTATTATTATTATTATTATTATTATTATTAGTAGTAGTAGTAGTAGTAGTAGTATTATTCTATGGAAGTCAATGGTTACAGGTTTTCAGCTTACTTCAAAATATCTTCTTTTCAACAGTAAAGAAACTTATTATTATATAGAACCACATTAGGGTGAGAAAATAAAGTAAATTACCAATTTGTCAGTTTGCAACAACATTAAACCAGTAACTATTGACTTCCCTATAGTTTTTCTACTATGGAAGTCAATGGTTACAGGTTTTCAGCTTTTTCAACAGTAAAGAATCTAAATCATCAGGAACCACATTAGGATGAGAAAACTGAGTAAATATTCACTTTTGGGGTGAACTACCCCTTTAATGTTAATGCAGAAATTATGAGGAGGCTTTTGTGAGTTTAGTGCACAATGATTACTACTATTAAAATCAATGGTTACAGGTTTTCAGCTTTTAACAGTTTCAGATTTTTCAACAGTAAAGAAACTCAATCATCTGGACCGCATTAAAAAGAGAAAATTTAGTAAATGTTCACTTTTGGGGGTGAACTGTCCCTTCAGTGTTAATGCAGAAATTATGAGGAGGCTTTTGAGAGTTTAGTGCACAACTGTTTTATTCTGGTACAGAAGTTATTAAGTGCAAAGCTGGAGAACTTGATATCTGACATCACAGAAAGCATTAAAAGCTTTATCAATTTGTCAGTCTACATCAACTCTCTTGAAGTAATTTCATTAAATATTAATTTTCCTATACACTCAAGGCAAATTCCAAACCAATTAAATAGAGGGTCTTTCAGACTGACAGAGCGGTGCGATTGTAAATGCATCTTTACACAGTGCAGATCTTCACAGATTAGTCTTTCAGGATGAGCGGGGCTTTGACTTGCGCAGCGACCTCAGCACCCATGAGCTCCTCCACTATAGTCAAGGCAAACTCAAAGCTGGTTCCTGGCCCTCTGCTGGTGATCACGTTACCATCCTTCTGAACTCGAGCCTCTGAATATTTATAATGATCTAGCAGAAGACAAAAACACGAATCATTCATACAGGTAAAGTTTTCAGCCAACAAGTACAAGCATAAAACTTATTTTGAATGATAATTCTACCTTTTTTTTTTAAAGTATTTCCAATTAAAAAAAAAGATTCCTTCCAAAATACTTTAAACTAAAGCAAAATACAAAAATAACATAGATAAGAGAAGTTAACTCTTTCAAGCAGTATACAGTTTCTACAGTTCCTTTTATAAACACTGCCAATGTTACTCAAAAGCATCATTTTCCAACAGGTGTTGTTATGCAGTTACCTGCAGCACCCTCTGTTGGATGTTTATCTGCCATTCTGCCATTCATTCCATCTGCCATTGGCATGCCTATTAAATGTGCTAGTTACCATCAACAATATTAAAAAGGCCCTATTGAACCCCTTTACAAGATGTAAAATAAGTCTCTGATGTAGCTAGAGTGTGTATGTAAAGTTTCAGCTCAAAATACAGGGTTTCTGTAGGTTTCGAGTTAAATTTAAAACTCGTAAAGACCCTTTTTAAGACCATAAAGAGTTCAATTTTAGACCTATACAAGGTTAGGATTTTTTCTAATGGCCCAGTATTATCATGAGGAATCGTGTAATTGTTTTTAGTTTTTTTTCCCCTGATTTGGGAATTTAATTTGGGGAATTTGCTGTTAAAATTTCGAACAGTTGTTGTCTCTTTGCAATAAAAAACTTAAATATATGAAAAAAGGTTTTATTGAGATGTGCTGTGGGTCATTAGATGGATATTGGCCCAAATTGAGTAGCTTTACTTGGACAAAGCCAAATTAAGACACGCTTAAAACAATTTAAAGCCTGGTTTACACTTGATTCCGCTAGTTTGCTTGCGTGAGTGCGACGAATTTGATGTCATTGTGGTATTTGCGGAGGTTCACTTTGGGTGCATGCAACATGATTTCGGCTGATGGAGCGCACAATTTGTTTTTGACACTCAAGCAAACAGTTCCCACGGCGCCTCGTTTGATATGAGTTGAATATGAATCACTTTAAAGAGATTTTGTCTGAAACAACTGTACAGACATCTTTATGTTTCTTGATCATAGAAATAAACAGATGATCAATAATTATTGGATAGAAATTGCAACATCCGTGGGAAAGGAGGAAGTTTTTGTTAAAAGGTTTGGAAAAACCTTAGGGAAGTTTGTTAAAGCCAAAATGGAGAGCCGGGTACACCATTACAGAAATATGTTTTAACACCAGTCATAGGTTTTACACTGATGTATATATTACAGTTTTCAATTTAAAACCATTTATTATTTACAAAACTATAAATAAGGAAAAGATAGTTTCTTTGATAACTGAAAAGGAATATTTAACCCTATTGATTTACTATATACTGATGGCCTGTTTCTCTAGGCTTTATTGGTGATAATGGTAAGGAATGTTGGACCAGTATTGCCTTTTTAGCATAAGACAGAAACTAGCCAGACAGTAATGTGTGAATTGTGGAGTGGGCCAAAACTAAATAAAACATCTGTATTTTTTAGTTGTACTTTTTTTGCATTTATTCTTGCCATAATAAAGATATATGTGTAGAGCAACCCATGTTCTCCTGTCATTAATATTTCAATAAACTTTAATAGGTAAAACTGTGTCCGAGATATGAACAAAAGCAAGTGATGCATCAAAGTTTGATTTGAAAACAATCTTGAATGGTTATAAACATCCTTATAATCATTAAAATAGTTAATAAAAACAATAAAAATGTATTAGTATAAAAATTTTGAATGGTATTATTGATATGACATAGTTCTGGAAACTTTCTATTCTATTCTAATCCGTCTGACTTTACGCTGGGTTTCTTTTGACCACCACCTGTCGTTTTAAAGAATATCACAACAGCAAACACAGCAAGTATAAAAGCCTCATCCGTTTTGCGAGGTGCAAACGCAGTCAGCTAGTGCCTAAAACAGCTTAAAACCTACAACACCAAAAAAAAAAGTAAGAAATTTTGAAATTTAAGACATTAAGACTTTAAGACCCCACAGAAACCTTGAAAATACCACACAAATAATGTTTTACAATTATTTGAAACTGACACTTTAATACAATGATCTAAATTGTCTCATTTTATTGACTGTCACTTTAAAGGGCACATAGTTACCCTTTTTTATGATTTAATATTAATATTAATATTATGGTTGTTCTGAGTGTGCCAGTTTAGGTTCAGTCCAACACACAGTTCAGATGTTTGTATTATACTGTGTTCAATAGTGTCATGTTGTGGCCGTGTACACAGCTCGCTGTTTTAGGGGTGTGTTGCTTCACATGAAAATTAGTTTCGGCTTCCCGCCCAATGTAACAAGGGGGCGGAGCCAAGAGCTCACCCGCTCTGTGTTTACAACAGACAGGCAGACAGAGAGAAGCTAAGCTAGGATCAGCATTCAGCCGTACATGTATGACTTGGACACAGACCAAGCAAAGACTACAAAATCATTTGCGTCTCTGTATAGTTTTACAGTCAACTGTGTGCTAGTTTCAAGTGCCGAGCTTGTACACAGAGACTAATAACCACGCACACTGAATTAACTCTGAGTATGAAAATAAAAAGAATGAAAAGTACACGTCTGCAAACCTACCAAAAAGTACAAACAATAATTCCGATTAGAGTGATAATGTGGAGAATGTTGATCTTGTGTTGAGCCCAATGAGCCTTACATCTAAAAATAGAGCAAGGATGTTCCTTTAGTGATATCGCTTTGACTCTCACGCTGAAAATGGCGGATGTGAAACAAGATACTGAGGATACGATCGTTGCGCGCGGCTGTCAGTCAATATTAGTGGGCGTGGGGACTGCACTCCTCATGAAGTTGCGATCGCTCTGAAAACCGCTCCAATTGGTCCACCGTTATTATGTTGTTAAATTGAAAAAAAAAAAAAAGACTGTGTTTATATCACCCCAATATGACGGTCTATACACGATACCAACACACATGTCTGTCAAAACAGCTTGAAAAGTAGATTTTTCACCATAGGTGGCCTTTAAAATCAAATTGAACCAAAACCGCAGATAAAAACAGGACTAACGTCATCTCTGTAGTCTCCATAGACTACCTTCTTCAGACATTCAGGGCTCTATTTTGACGGTCCATGTGCAGAGCGCAAAATGCAGGGCACAAACGCTTTCAGGGCGTGTCAGAACGCATTTTTGCTCATTTAAGGATGGGAAAATCCGCTTTTGTGCCGTGGCGCATGGTCTAAAAGGGTTGAGTTTATTTTCTTAATGAGTTATAGGTGTGTTTTGAGAATAAACCAATAAACCAAGTCTCATCTCCTATTCCCTTTAAGAGCCAGCTGCGTCGCGCCATAAGCGCATTCGATATTTACAGGATGCAAAGTAAGTGTAATTGGAAAAACTGAACATTTCACTAGCAAACAGTTAACAGTTTATTAACAGAAAACAGTTAAACAGAGCATCTACTGCGTGAGAATGAGAGATAATGGATCTACTTTCACTTTCGCTCATGGATAGGGAAACCTTTACGCACAGACATCAATTAGTCTATAAATAATTAATTTCGTTTGTTAAGCAAAAAATATTTGTTTCAAAACTATTTCTAAATTCAGTTCTAATTTCCAGCAAACGAATAAATGAACAATAATAACGAAGTGTGCTCAAAACCTGAGTTATATCCTAAAACACATGCTGTGCCCCATATGGTCTTAAACCTGACAGGTGGACAAATCTAAGCTTGTTTTTAAAAAACAAATATATATATGGATATAATAAATAATAATGCTAATAATAACATTATACAAAAGCAAATTGTTATGAATAAACTGAAAAAGCCTCCCGAGATGAAGAAGACATAAAAGCAGTGATTTTTCATATTTTTGTAGGCTAGAAAATAAAATGTTTTGTAATATTTTAATCCTTTATATTTATATCCTATATCTATTGTTATTATATCCTATATATATCCTTAATATTTACATTTTTTCATATGTAAAAATATTTGCCTTTTGCTCTCTTGTGCGTATTAAGCAGTGTGTAAGCGAGGCGCAACTCTGCGCCGGAGTTTAGACCGGGTTAGTTTTGGTCTAATGAAAAATCTATTATAGTGTCTCAAAATAGCAACGCGCCAGCGGTCCGCCTCAGAACGCCTATGGGCGCACTTATAAGCGCAAATGCATTTGCTATTTAAACAGCGTAGTGAAACGCATCAAAACGACTCTTGCGCCAAGCTGAAACTAGCAAACAAGTATTGCGCCTCGCTTTGCGCCGGGTGTATGATAGGGCCCTCAGTGTTCATTTGCGCATCTAAAAATCAACATTTATAATCCTCTTGGTCGCTGGCATTATCTTTAACAGGGGAAATCACTAATGGAAAAACAGCTGCTTCTTACTCAGGGCTGTGTATGCTAATGAGGGTGAGATGGTCACTAATGGGCGGGGCTTACCACCTCTGATGGCATGTATAAAAGGTGAATGTCAATCAAAGTGTTTCTGCAAACAAGTGCGACTATAAAAACTAGATGTAATCAATGTTTACCATTAGAAGCTGGATATATTCACACACTGTTGCCACAGAACTGTGTTTAAACCCGTTATAAAAATGATTTTTGCATAATAGGTCAAATTTAATGTCTTAAACCAGGGGTGTCAAACTCAATTCCTGGAGGGCCGAAGCCCTGCACAGTTTAGTTCCAACCCTGCTCCAACACACTTACCTGTAGGTTTCAAACAGGCCTGAATGACTCAATTAGTTTGATCAGGTGTGTTTAATTAGGGTTGGAACTAAACTGTGCAGAGCTGCGGCCCTTTTAGAACTGAGTTTGACACCTGTGTCTTAAACTGTATATAACAAAAAAGAGCTAGATATAAATAGATATATAATTATAGGCATTACCACCAGCCATCATCTTGTCCTTGGCACCAGGATGAGTAGTAACTGTGCTGCCATATGCAATGCCATGAGCCAACAGTGCCGTCGGGCCTGCAACAGGTCAGAAATGACACAGTTATACTAAAATACATACAGTAATCTCTTAAAAGCAGGAAATATTGGAGAAAGTGATCCACCTGCAGCACTTTTCATGTAACATTGCATCTGCAAGTGTAACTCAAATAACAAGAAAGCTTTAGAAATATAGTAATCATCATGAAAGTCAAACAAAGTTGCTGGAGGAAACAAAGTGACTTTAGCAATGTGCATAGAATATCACAATTGAAAAGCATCACTCTAGTCTGATCTAAAAATAAAAGGCATCTACAGTGTCCGTCTAATTCTGCAATGCGCACTGGAAGGAGGAACGGAAGAAAGTAAAAATAGGCGTCTAAAAATACCAGTTGATTCTGCAGCGTTATCATTGGCTGAGCACTGAGCTCATCTGAACATTAATGAAAAGAGAGCTCTTAACTATTGATTGTGCACCTTGGCAGACGCCCAGTGTGGTCTAGTGATTACACTTTCTCTGGCAGGACGTTTGCGGGCCCATCTGAGCCTGGAATCTACTGTTACAGGCCTCGCTGTGAGAAGCTCAGTCCAAAAAAAGACGTTAAACAAAGATAAAAAATAATGGACCTGTATGTTGCAGACAGGGGCGGAACGGTGGCTCAGGGGTTAGCACTGAGAAGGTTGCTGGTTCGAGTCCCAGCTGGACAGTTGGCATCTCTGTGTGGAGTTTGCATGTTCTCCCTGGGTTTACTCCAGGTGCTCCGGTTTCCCCCACAGTCCAAAAACATGCGCTATAGGTGAATTGGATGAAGTAAAATCACTTGCTTTTGTTTATGTCTCGGACAGTTCTACCTATTACAGTTAAATATGTGATATTTATGGCAAGAATATAAGCAAAACTTACTAAAAATACTGATGTTTTTGTTTTGCCCACTCAAGAATTTACACATTGCTGTCTGGCTAGTTTCTGTCCTTTAGGATGCTTTCACATAAGCACTTTTGGTCTGCACCCTGGTTCGTTTGATCATAGTACGGTACGTTTAGCTAGTTTGAATGTGTCTTCTGAATTTGGGTGCGCACCCGTGAACTGTACCTGAGTCCGCCTAAGGTTGCTGTCACACCTGCCTTATTTAGTTCGATTGAATCGCACTAGAGTTCGTTTTCCCTTTTGGTGAGGTTTGTTTGGGCAGGTGAGAATGCAGCAATCATACTCGAGTGCGCACCAAAAGTGGACCAAATAAGCGTACCGAGACATTCACATTCTCATTCACACTTATACACTACAGATAATTTAGCCTAGCCAATTCACCTGTACCGCATGTCTTTGGACTGTGGGGGAAACCGGCGCACCTGGAGGAAACCACGCGAACGCAGGGAGAACATGCAAACTCCACACAGAAATGCCAATTGACCCAGTCCAAGCTGGAACCAGTGACCTTATTGCTGTGAGGCAACAGCACTACCTACTGCGCCACTGCGTCGCCCAAGTCTCAAATTCAATAACAGAAAGCTGATTGGCTATTGCATGTTGGTTTCATTTGTAGTTGTAATACCGCAAATTATATTTGGACAAGTGAAAAAGAACTACAACACCACGAAAACAAAGCAACAACAACAAAAAAAGAATTTAAATGAGCATTCGATGTAGCGGTACATGGACAGTGGAAAAATAAGGCTGGTGTAAAAATATTGAAGAATGGCTTCGTCCAAAACCGCATACTTCCATACTATATAGTATGCTAAAATCAGTATGTGAGCCGAGTAGTATGTCCGAACTCATAGAATTCGAAAATCAGTATGCGAGAAGTACCCGGATGACTTACTACTTCCGGCGAGATTCTGGAGTGCGCATCCCATGCACGCTGCGATATCCCATAATGCCCCGCGAAAGAATTTATGAATGGAAGTGAGGCGACGCAACTGACGCAGGTAGGTCACGTGACCATGACAAAATGGCGGATGTAGTACGTCCGAATTCCATGCATACTTCTCACATTTATACTGTATAGAACGCACTTTTCTAACGCCCGAGTAGTACGTTTAAATTCAAATGCAGTACCTTCTGAGTAGTAGGCGGTTTTGGACGCAACCTAAGACTTTTTTATTTATTTTTTAGATTTTTTATTTATTTTTTACTTTTTAAGACCCTGCGGAAACCCTGGTTTGCAGTTTATCCACTTCTGCCTAAATGGATCAATGATTTTTTTTTTTTTACGTTACCTCCTACTTCAGTTTCTCATCAAATCATAACCAATCAAATGCTCTCCAGTATCTGACAAGCCCCGCCTCCTTCAAGACATCTCATTTGCTTTTCATTTGATGCAATTGAGTTCAATGGCTCTCACTGGTTGAGCTGTAATAAAACGAAACGCTATTGGCTGTTTTTTTCCGGGGGGGGGGGGGGGGGGGTTATAACAGTTTCACCCTCTCTTTTTGTTTCGGTTGAGATTACATCAAACATCGAATAAAACTGCATATTTCAAAGCACGCCAAAGGACTTTTGATTTTCATGAAAAACTGCCTCAGCTAATTTTTTCTTGATGATATGCTCATGCAATCCAAACCTTCACACACACACACACACACACACACACTTTTTTTAAAGGTATTCCACAGCACTAAAAGAAGCCATTTGCCGTTCAGTACAGATCCCTATAGGGACATCTGCCATTTTCTGGGACGCTTTCCGCTCTCCTCTGCTCTCTGCGGCCACATGGGCTCTGTCCTCATTCAGCACGTCCTTCACCAGCCCTTGAACACCAGTGCTGATAACACACACATACACACGCCTCAGTGTTCAATACGCTTGCAAATGAAGACGGACAGGCTTAATGCTGCCAATTATTATAACTCATTATCCTTTCATTTGTATTTCAGATTTCAGTTTTACATATCCGCACTCATCTGTGAGCATCACACTGACATAAAGATGGTTCAGGTAACATTGAGGGCAAAGGCCCGGTGGGGGGAAAAAATATTAAAAGCCCTCAGGGAAATTCATGGAGGAATAAAAAAATAAGATGGTGTTCAAAAGATTGAATAATACATTTATACAGTCATAAACATGTTTTGACACTTATTATGCTAGTGATTTGACGCTTTACAAAAGTTTCAGATGCCTTTACCAATATCAAAATGCTTTTGTAAACATCCAGTTATTCTTTACACCGATTAAAAAAAGGGTTACTATACTACTACTATGAGTACTATAATAAAGAAAATCCGCTCTTACTGTAAAACTAAATAAATTGTTCTTGACACATGAAAGGGCCAAACATGCAGCCCACAACAAGGTGTAAAGTTATTGCGTATCATATTTAACAAACTGTTTACTACGAATTTTATGTAATTTTGCTCACATGGATAATTAAATATTAATCAGTTCTTTTCTTTTTTCGAAGGACATCCTGGGATTTTTAACAACCACGGAGAATCAGGACCTCGTTTTAATGTCTCATCCGAAAAACGGCACTCACTGAGCAGTACAGAGTCTCCGTCACTATACAGGGGCATTAGGACCCACACAGACCGCAGGTTGGGCGGCCCCTGCTGGTCTCACTAACACCATTTCCGGAAGCAACCTTGCTTTCCCATGTGGTCTCCCATGCAGGTAATGACCAAATGCAGCCCTGCTTAGTTTCAATGGGTGACATACCTGTCAACATTGGGATGTGAAAATAAGGGATATGCCCACCATAATAAGGGATTCCTCCAAATATATATTTTTTGATCACCCCAAAAAAATCCCCAAATTACTATGCTCATTTGGAGCTGTTTCATTGTAAATAAACAGGTAAATGGTCAGTAATGTTTTATTATTTACAAATGAAAAAAAAGAAAAAATTAACAAATGAATGATTCATTTAGATTTTTTCGTTTAATTACTTTAAATAACAGGTGTCAGTTTAAAAACGCACACATCTAACATTATAATGAAGGCAGTCGACTGCTTTCCTAACTGTTAATGCTCATTTAGGAGGAAATTATTTGTGTTTGGGAAAAAACCCCCACCAAGATCAACATCTTTAGATATTATTATTATTATTAATTATGTGTGTACATCTGTTTAAACACGCACCCAAAACCCAGACTTTTGCTCCGCTTCAAATCACGAGTACAGAATTCGTTTTGGAAACAGCGTCTATTTATCACTTTGAAGCTCGTCAGCTGACAGTCATGCAGTGCTATGACTGTTTTGAGGATTGTATATGAAGGGGAGACGACACATGTAAAGAAAAGGAAGGGAATCGTGCCGTTTTTATGTTTATTTCAAAGTGTTTTCGTACCTAAACAAAGCGAAAGCACAGAACTCGCCTTCAAGAGCAAGGGGCGGCCCCTGGTGGTTCGGAGGTATGGGAGACTCAACTCTTTAATGTTTAATTGCCACCCCTCTGAGAAAGACTGAAAATATGGGAGAAATACGGGAAAATACCTTTACGGGATCATAGCAGGATAGAACTGTAAAATACGGGAGAATCCCGGGAAAAACGGAAGGGTTGACAGGTATGATGGGTGACCATGTGAGAGTTGCAGAGAGCTAGCTGCAGGTAATATCAAGTTGTCATGACAAATATAAAGACTGATTGTTTTGTATTTGTTTTAGTCAAATTGTCATAACAAATAATGTCATCTTTGCATTCAAAATGTCATAATTGAGCGAATGACAATTAATGACAGTTGTTAGAAGCATGCATAAAAACTCATTCATAACATGTGTCATCATAATTAGAAAGATTTCATGACAGTCTTACGAACACCCCGTCAAGTAAAGTGTTACCAAAAAGGTAATATATGACGTGTCTTCCTGACATTATGCCTAATAGAGCAGTTGAAATGGTGGATGTTTATCCAGGAAAAGGTTAATGTGTGCACAGAGGTCACCAAATGAAGATTACCTGCACAGATTGCAGCGATCAGACCCTTCCTGCCCTCCTGGTCCTTCAACACCTCTTTCACAGCAGGAGACTACAACACACACATGCACACACACACTTATATGTATATGACGCACTACAGAAACAACTGTCACAACACTGCTTCAATTTACATAATTGCGCAATGTTTGCGTTTCACAATGCGACCGTGTTTCTAACCTCGGCAGATGACTCAAAGATGTTTTCTGTTGATTTGAGGAACACTCATAACCTTATGTAAGACTCGAATGGCGTAAGAGCTCTCCTATGGAACTCACTCTACTGTAAAACATGCATAATTAAAACAGATTTGTACCTCAGAAAGGTTCTGGGCTCCAAGCAAACCTCCAGGCAGAAGAACAACGTCATATGGACCCTGTTTAGGAAAGAAAATGACATGCACAACTGACATAAAACCATATTGGTTACATACTGATTAGAATACTTATTTACCATTGAAATTCATTAGGAAATATTGTTTTATTAAATGAAAGCAACTCAATTAAAACTGAACTCCCTCAGAATATTTGACATTCTGCATGTGTATATAAACAAGGAAGAAAACAATCATGAACATTTGCTTTGTTTATATTATGCATATGCAGAAATACTGTTTACCATTGATTTCATTAGGAATTCTTGTTTTATTAAATGAAAGCAACTCAATTTAAACTGAACTCCCACAGAATATTTGACATTTTGCATATGTATATGAGTCTCATGAATATTGTAAGGGTTTTCTTATTTAAAATTAAGATCCTTTAATAAAGCAAGAATACCTAATGAATTTCAGTGGTAAAGCAGTAGTGCTTATTTTATTGGCAATGCATTGCTTGGCCAGAAGATGGAGACAATACTCCATTTATTTACTTTCAACGTTCTTTAAATCCAAATCAGTTCAGAGATGAAAGCAGGAGTAGGTAGGGCTGCTCGATTATATGAAAAATTATAATAATGCTTATTTTGGTCATAATTATAATTATGATTATTCAATATATATATATATATATATATATATATATATATATATATATATATATATATATATATATATATATATATATATATATATATATTTATATACATTTAAAAATATATAAATATATATGGGTCCCTCCCCATAGGTTGGTGTTACAGATCATGACAGGCCTGTGAATGTATAGAGTCTTTGTGAGACAAGTGTTGATGAATGTATAGGTTCTTCTGGTAGTAGTTTTGGTTAACCTTTAAATTTCAAACCTGTACAACAACTCTAGTTATATATTGTGTCAGTCGTTTGTTATGCAGTGACATGCAGTCAAATATTTCACCACACAGTCCTTAGGGATGCGGTGACACGCAGTCAGATATTTTGCCGAACAGATCCGTCACTTTTGGCGCTTATAAACAATCATAAAGCTCTCGTGCTGCAGGAATGAGGAGGTCTGCTGAAGGAGCGCAGCTGTCATGCAGTGAGGAGTTCTCGTCTTTAATAAACTACGGCAGTTTGCGTTCACTGAACAGTAAGAATGATTAATAAATCCATATGAGCCCTTTAAAAGTCACGTCTCGCTTTCAGTTTTTGAGCCCAAGTGAACCGCGCTCAGGCCCACCTCTTCCAACCAGGCCAGGGGCGGCCAAGTGAACCGTGCTTGAGTCCGATTCAGTGCACTCACACTTCTCAAACAATCCAGGAAACGGGCCTGGGCACGGTACGGATGGCATAGTGTAAGTAGGCCCTTAATGTCAGTATCTGTTCCACCATGCTGGTCGATGACACTGCCCAGGTAAGTAAAAGACTGTACCTCCTTCAGAGTTAATGGATTGTTGTAGTTGATCTTAAGAATCTTGGTCTTCTCTGTGTGCATGCTGAGTCCAACCTGTGATGATCACCAGATAAGCTCTTAGATGAAACCGCAAAGGAAAGCGGAAGAGAGGCCTTCCAAGATATACCTGGTGACGTGACCTCGAGGCAGACATCACAAAGACGGGTTACGCCAAGGACAAAGAATGACCCAGGACAGATACCTCTAGAGATCAACCTTTGGTGGTGTACTTTTGCGAGCGGATTTGCAACGGGCCTGACGTGACATGGGGGCGTGGCAGCATCGACGATTCTATTTTTTGATTCGATAATCGAAATTGAGCATAAGTTTCGATTGATTTTGATTTAAAATCGAATACCCCTATCATTTATTTATTTTGAGATTTAATTAGCTCAGAAAAATATCTAGTACCTGTTTATTTTAGTTTAAATATTACATAAATAAATTATTTTTTTAAAGAAGGTGTATACTTTTTTTTAAAGTTAGTTATATCGTAAGAAATATCATGATCGCAACACTCAACAACAAAATATTGCATATTTTCCCAGTATTGTGCAGAACTACTTAAGAGTTACACTAAATTGTAAAATTTAGATAAGCAGGTACTTATAATATGTAAAGTCAGACCTGTTTGTGTGCGTCCTCCAGGCTGGAGTCTGGGCAGATCATGACCTCACGGCTGCACTGAACCGGCTCTTTACCTGCCAGACCTGCGACAGTAACAGCGATCTACGAGAAAGGGACAAAACACTCTGCTTATTGATATTTATTGAATTTGTAAATTAAATGTAACATGCATGAGACATAATTTATGACTAGAAACCAAATTGCTATATTCCAGTGAAATACTATAGTATTTCACTATAGTAATGATGGCCAGAGCCAGACAGAAAGATTTCTTAAATGTTTTTTCTGTATTTCTGCACAAAATTAAGCAAAAAAAAAAAAAAAAAAAAAGATTAAATTAATACTCTGTTTTTTTATTATTATTTAATTTATTTATTTATGAAAAGTGATTTTGAGAGTATAGGGGCTAAAAACAACATAAAATAAAAAATAACTTCTTAATTGTTATTTAAGGTTTACAATTCAAATGCAAAATTGGACCCACTAGCATTGTATAAGAAAGCTAAAGTACGACTTTTATATCACACATCCTCTAATAGACAGAAAATATTAGCGTACAAATTGTATTGCACATAAATTATCTAAGCATTGGCAACTTATTCTATGATAATACTGAAATTAATATTAAAACTGATTAAATATATATTTATTTAACACATTTACACAAGTAAATAAATAAACTGAATGATGGCTTAAAAATCAGCAGATTCTGTGTGGGCCTAATGATGATATATACTGTTGATGCATTTAAATGCTATGATTTTTCCTATTATTCACTTAAAGACTGCATGATATTGATGAAATATTGATTAATTATCTGTGGTCATTTGATCTAAATCACAATTATTTGAAATAACCACTATAAAGTTTTGATGAAAATCCAATTCTTTATAATAATTTCATAGCATTAAGGAAAATCAGTGGCCTATTTAATTGTGCGTAAAGTAATATAGAAAATTAAAATAATTTCTTAAAACAAAAAAAAACATATTTAAAAAATGAAAAGAAACTTAAATCCTAATTAAATCACAGCTTTTTATGTGCCAAGAAGCATAAAATTCAGAACTGTGACAGGACTGTTTTTCAAGATTCTTTCCTAAATGTAATGCACAAAAGCTCAACAATATAATTATTTATTTATTAAAGCCATATTTGACCAATGAAAGTATCAACTTTCTCTCAAAATTGACCAAGACATAGAATCAGTGATTATGTAATGTGTCCTGTAGAGAGGCAAACTTTGGCATTTACACACTGGCAGCAGTAACTGACCACCATAACGCTGCACACAAGCAATATTCATACAGTACAACTTTATTATCTTCACTTCACTGCACTAACGTTAATTAATGCATGCATGCATGTTAAGAATACCAACACACATTAGCATACCAGCTGCATACAGACATCACTGACACACGTTATTGACATTTGGCAACACATTTGCACGAGTTAAATGTTTTGTGTCTACAGACCCCCGCTCTGCGCATCACATCCACCGGGATTACAGTCTCCATCTCCTCCGCTCCTTTCGCAAGAATCACTAACGCTCTTTTACCGGCCATAATAACCGTGCGTCTAATAACCTGTGCGTGTCTGCAATGCAACCTCACTCATGTACTTTTATTATGGAAGGCGTTTCCGGGAGTAGGTGGGTTATGGGGAACTACCAGGCAAAATAAAAGTTTTCTTCTTGTAAGGAGCTATTCTATGGTCGTTTGTTGTTGTTTTTCTTTTTTTTTCTTTTTTCAAAGAAAAAAAAGGCATTAAAAGATAACAGATTTTATTTTGATTACTGAATCATCTGTAAACGGAGATTGATTCCACGTCAAACTTGGGTATATTTTTTTCTTAAATTTTAATTTGTTTATTTAGTGGAGTGTTTATGTTGTGCTTAATATGCTATTAATTTTAATCCCTCGTAACGTTCTTATTCCAAATAAAATTAATGTGTCACTGTTTGTAACAGTACATTGTAACTTCTACACTAAAATATGACAAAAATTCAAGACAACAAATATTTTATGTTGCTTTAATTTATTTTAATAAGTCAATCGAAATATGTATTTCAACTGAAATCTACAGACACAAAATAATAAATAGAGTTGATAAAACACTTAAATTAATATTTTGGATATTTACTTAGACATTAAAAAACATGCAGTTTTTTTGACCTGCACTGACTATATAAAATAAAATAAAATAAAATAAAATAAAATAAAATAAAATAAAATAAAATAAAATAAAATAAAATAAAATAAAATAAAATAAAGGGGCGTCAATCGTTGCATAATCGCCTCACAGCAAGAAAGTCGCCGGCTCGAGTTGGGTCAGTTGGCATTCCTGTGTGGGTTTGCATGTTGCACAGTCCAAACACATGCGCTATATGTAATAGACTAAATTGTCCTTTGTGAATGTGTGTAAATACAAGAGTGTGTGGGTGTTTCCCAGTTAATAAAGGGACTAAGTCGATAAGAAAATTAATGAATGAAAATAAAATAAAAATAGTTTTTAATTCTGAACAATTTCACTGTAAAGAAAATGCAGGCCATTTTAAAGAAATGCAGATCTTCGGCCACTAGAGGACGCTGGAGACCTTTTTTTCAGATGCACTTGCTTGTTGATGGGCTTGAAACGGCCTCATCTTCGCCATCATGTATTAGTAACAGTAAATTTGCCTCTGAAGACAATTTTATCGTCATTTCAAATGCATTTTAGGATGAACGTGTTCATTTCAATCCAGATAAAGAACAATTTGAAAGATGAAGGAATTAACATTTACGAACAAATAAAAATGCTACTCCAGAAAAACTATTCATATTGTCATAGATCCTTCAGAAATCATTTTAATAAAATCAATTTGTGCACAACACTTTTTAAAATCATGAATGTTGTTGTTTTCATCCACTCAGGGCTGATTTTGAGTCTTAATTTGGCCACATCTTTGTTTCAGTAAATGGAATAATTTTTGGTGACAACTCTTATTTTGACACATATTTTGGGAATATGTGTCAAATGTGTCATATGTGTCATTGTAATTTTTCAAAACCTTAAACAATACACTCTTGGGCAAATTGACTTCCTTTTCGTATCCATGATGCCCTTCCGGTACTGGGAAACACCCATACACACTCATAGTCATACACAACGGCCAGTTTAGTTTATTCAATTCTTCTATAGCGTATGTGTTTGGACTGTGGGGAAAACCAAAACACCCAGTGGAAACCCACACCAACACGGGGAGAACATGCAAACTCCATATAGAAATGCCAACTTATCCAGCCGGGACTCGAACCAGTGACCTTCTTGTCAAGAGGTCATCGTGCTAACCTCTGAGCTACCGTGTAGACCGTATAGAAATTATTGTTAACTTCCTGCTGTGGATGTATCCCAATAACAAATTGGACTGCAGCAATGGACAACCTTAGAGCTGCGGCCAGTAGTTAACGACAATTATGCTATTTATTACAACCTCAAATCAGAAAAAGTTGAAACAGTACGGAAAACACAAATAAAATAAGACAATAGGGATTACTATATTTACTTTGACTTGTATTTTATTGGAGACAATATAAACACAAAATATTTCGTGATTTGTCTGGTCAACATTATTTCATTTGTAAATATACATCCTTTACTGTCATTCACCTGCAGCACAATGCAGCAAAACTTGGGACCAGAGCAATTTAGGGCTAGTGATCAGGTAAATTGATTAAATAATGATGTGAATTGTCCAAACTTTTTTCTGATTTGGGGCTGTAAATTATCCGTTTATTAACATCTACCCCTACCCCAACCCTTAACCCATCCATCCCAGTAAGGTAAAGGTATACACAGCATTTTTCATATGATTTATTAAATTACCCATTAATTGTATTGTATTAACGTCTACCCCACCCTAACCCTAAAATGACCGCTTACAGTAATGTAAAAACAGTGATTATAACAAGGGTTATTTATATTATTTATTAAATTCCCCAATAATTATATTGTATTAACATCTACCCCTAATCCAACCTTAAACTTACCGCTTGTAATGTAAAAACATTAATTATAACAAGGATTGTTTACATTATTTATTAAATAACCCAGTCATTACATCGTATTTACATCTACCCCTACCCCAATCCTAAAATTATGTCTAACTGTAATGTAAAAACAGTAATTATAACAAGGATTATTTATACACTCTCAGAAATAAAGGTACACGAGCTGTCACTGGGGTGGTACCTTTTTTAAAAGGTACACATTTGTACTTAAAGGGTCCATATTCATATTCATTCAAGCACCTAAAAATCTTAAGAGGCACACTTTTGTACTTTTTAGGTACTAATATGTACCTTTGAGGTATTTATATGGACCTTTATGGTACAAATTTGTATAGTGACCGCTCGCATACCTTTATTTCTGATAGTGTATTAATTATTAAATTACCCATTCATTGTAATGTATTAACGTCTCCCCCTAGCCCAACCCCAAACTTACCTTACAGTAATGTAAAAACAGTAATCATGACAAGGATTATTTATATTATTTATTAAATTCCCCAATAATTATATTGTATTAACATCTGCCCCTACTCCAACCTTAAACTTACCGCTTACAGTAATGTAAAAACAGTAATTATAACAAGGATTATTTATATGATTTATTAAATAACCCATTCATTACATTGTATTTACATCTACCCCTAACCCAATCCTGAAATTACCGCTAACTGTAATGTAAAAACAGTAATTACAACAAGGATTATTTATACACTCTCAGAAATAAAGGTACACGAGCTGTCACTGGGGTGGTACCTTTTCAAAAGTACTTAAAGGGTCCATATTCATGCCTCAAAAGTTTATATTAGCACCTAAAAATCTTAAGAGGCACACTTTTGTACTTTTTAGGTACTAATATGTACCCTTGAGGTATTTTTATGGACCTTTATGGTACAAATTTGTATACCAACTAAGTGACCTCTCGCATACCTTTATTTCTGAAAGTGTATTAATTATCAAATTACCCATTCATTGTAATTGATTAACATCTATCCCTACCCCAACCCCAAACTTACCTCTTACAGTAATGTAAAAACAGTAATCATGACAAGGATAATTTATATTATTTATTAAATTACCCATTCATTGTACTTTGTTAATTCCTACCCCACATTACCCCTAAACCATACTCCTCACAGTAATGTAAACACAGCAATTATACACAGTAAATTACATATTATTTATTAAATTACCCACTAGTTTTATTGTATTACTTCTACCCCTACCCCAACCCTAAACCTACCCCTAACAGTTATGTAAAAACAACAATTATACACAGTATATTACACATTATTTATTAAATTACACATTCAATTTTATTTTATCAACATCTACCCCAACCCTAAACTTACCTCTTACAGCAGGGGTAGGGAACATATGGCTCGGGAGCCACGTGTGGCTCTTTGACCAAATATATGAGGCTCTCCAGCTGTCTCCCTTCAATAAAAAATTAAAACTGTCACTAAATATCAGTGTCCTATTGAAAATACAATTTAAACTACCTTTTTATTGTATATTTTTACAGCAAAATGAAAAAGAATAAAAGGACGTTTCAACCAATGCGTGTGTGAGGCGCTGTGGATTAACTTGTGGATTAATCTGACACCAATAAAGGGCATGCAATTTACATTTCTATGGTACACTTGCGCATGTAAATTCAAACAACATTCATGAGTGTTGATGGCGAAAGAAATGCATTTGCCAAAAAAAAAAAAAAAAACAGAAATGGCTCTTTGCTGAAAGAAAAGTTCCCGACCCCTGTTTGACAGTAATCTAAAATAGTAATTATAACAAGGTTTATTTATATTATTTATTAAATTACCCATTTATTATATTTTGTATTTACATCTCCCCCTACCCCGACCCTAAACATACCCCTAACTGTAATTTAAAAACAGTAATTAAAACAAGAATTATTTATACACTGTCAGAAATAAAGGTAAGCGATCTGACTAGGATGGTACCTTTTCAAAAGGTACACATGTCCACATTCGTACCTCAAAAGTAGTGCCTAAAAATTTTAAGAGGAACAGTTTTGTACTGTTTAGGTATTAATATGCACCCTTGAGGTATTTATATGGACCTTTAAGGTACAAATGTGTACCTTTATTTGTCAGAGTGTATTGTTTTTTAAATTATCCGCTCATTAACATCCACCTCTACCCCAACCCCAAACTTACCTCTTACAGTAATGTAAAAACAGTAACTATACCAAGGTTTATTTATATTATTTATGTAATTACCCATTAATTATATTGTATTAACATCTACCCCTACCCCAACCCTAAACCTACCCTTAACAGTTATTTAAAATCAGTAATAATAACAAGGATTATTTATTCAGAAATAAAGGTACGCGATCTGTCACTGGGGTGTTACCTTTTTTTAAAAGATACACATTTGTACTTGAAGGGTCCATATTGGTACCTCAAAAGTATATATTAGCATATGTAAAGTATATATTATATATGTACTCTTTGAGGTATTAATATGGACCTTTAAGGTACAAATGTGTACCTTTTATTTCTGAGAGTGCATTATTTTTTAAAATACCCATTCATTTTAATGTATTAACAT